TCAGGAACCTTCATGAGTGGCTAGACCTGGCTGACTGCTCCTCCCAGTTGATGTCAGGGTAATTCATATCACCTATGACCACAACATCCTTTGCAAGCACGGCCTTCCCAAGCTGCCTGGAAAGTTCCAGATCCAGCTCTTCCTCCTGATGTGGTGGCCTATAGTAAACCCCTACCACCAGATCCCTCTCCCCCACCCTCCTTGAAGTTTGACCCACAGGGTCTCAGTTAAGCCTTCCTCTGGTCCCATTTGGAAGGTAGAACTCGTATACTGTTCCCTAACAAAGAGCGCAACCCCCCCCACACCTTTTTTTCCCCTTCCTATCTCTTCTAAACAACCTATAACCCTCTATGTCTAATGCCCAGTCAAATGTTTCATCCCACCATGTCTCCACTAGGCCAACCAGGTTGATTTTACTACTTGCAAGCAGGAGAGCAAGCTCCTCCTGCTTGTTCCCCATGCTTCTTGCATGAGTGAAGAGACACCTTAATCCCCCCGGGGGAGCTCTGGGCACTTCCCCTACCTGAGAGAAAACTGGTCCCTTGGGATTTACCTGAGCTTTTACCTGGGCAGGTCCTACACCTGGTTGAGTTTTTTCCCTCTCCTGTGGATCCCCACCCCCCGATAAACTTAGTTTAAAGCCCGCTGGAGGAGGTCAACTAGCCTGTAAGAAAACAAACTCTTACCTTTGGAGACTTATGGGAGGTTCCTGCAGTCTTCACCCCCTAGATGCCCCAATGCCATGGCCACCCACCCCAGGAGGGCACGTGCACAAACCTCATTGTAAATAGTTTGCATGGGTAATATGGTATTTTATTGTTGGTGGGTGGGGTGGGGTGGGGTGGAGTGGGTGCTGGAGGGGCTCTGATGTTGGGGAGGGAGTGGGGGTCTGTTTGTTCTGAGGGCAATAAAGTGTTTTTATGCCACAGTAAGCATGGTGCTGGGCAGGGGTCTATGGGTGGCTGTCCAGGCAGGCTACAGCAGGGAGTTCAGGAGCAGCTGGTCGACCAGTGCCTCTCACATCTGGTGCCCTGGCCCCTGCTGCCAGGTGTGTGGCTCACCCAGGGTCTCAGTGGGGGTGGGGGGTGCTGCCATTGTTGCTACCACTGCAGCTGGTGCTCCCACTGCCAGGCATCCTCTGACCACAGCACCTTCTTCACCCAGGCCTTGTGGAAGAGCTCCTGGGCCTCACAGATGTTATGGAGCATGCCAGCTGCAATGAGGGCCTGGGGGATGTTGTCCTCAGTGAACCTTAGTAGGGCAGTGAGGGACAGCCAGCGTCCCTTGAGGCAGTTGAATGTGTGCTCCACCAGTGTGCAGGTCTGGCTTAGGCACCGGTTGAACTCGGTGTGGCGGAGGCCCATGTAACCAGTGTAGGGCTGCATGAGCAAGGGCAGGAGTGGGTAGGTGGGGTCCTCAATTAGGAGGGGCAGGACCACCATTACACCCTGCTGGAGGTCTGGTACCCCTAGTATGAAATGTCTGCTCTGCACCAGGGCTGGCAGGTGGAGTTCCAAAACAGGTGGGCATCGTGAGCACTGCCTGCCCAGCTAGCACTTATGTTAGTGAAAGTGCCATAGCGGTCAACAGCAGCTTAGAGCACAATGGAGTGAAAGCTCCTCCAGCTGTAGTGGGGGGTTACCAGAGGCTGGTGGGTGAGGGTGATGTGGGTCCCATCCAGAGCCCTGATGCACTGGGGGAATCCTAGGGTGCAGAATCCCACCACACCTCCAGGATGAATTCCCTGGTGGTCACCTTGCCCATGCCAAAGAGGTGGCCCATGTAGCAGAGGTTGGTGGGTGTGGCCAGACTGAGCAGGGTGAGGGCCAGCCAGGTGTCTATGGGGTGGAGCAGCTACATGTTGGTGTTCTGCTCATAAGTGTGCAGGTGGAGCTGCTCCAGGACTTCCAACAAGGTGGCTCGAGTCATCTGGAACACCTCCACCCACTGCTTGTGATTCCAGGAAAACATGCAGTCACCAATCCTGGCTGGCCCGGTGGGTCCAGAGGTGACAGGGCTGGAAGCCCAGGAGGGTGAAGGCAGCCCTGATGGTGGCATCCTAGAGCCCATCATCAGCATCCCTTCCAGGGTCCAGACAGTAGGACAGCGTCCAGGTGGCAGCTGTGCAGTGGTGATGGCCCCAGGATGGTGCAATGGGGCCAGGCAGATAGTTCCTGCATGTGGGGGAGCCAGCAGGGCCCAGACAGCTGTGGGCCAACCAGCAGTCAGTGCAGTGGGCCAGCAGTGCCAGCATGGTGACCATCAGGAACCTGGGATGCTGGACATCATTGCCAGGGACAGATGCTGAAGCAGCCATAGTGTAGGTAGGCAAAGGCTGCAGCATGAGAGCTGTTATGTGCTGCACCCATGCTGTGCATGCTGCTCTTGGCTAGAACCATAGCTGGCCAAGGAGTGGGGCTCCCTTTTAAAGATGGCCTCCAGCTTCAGGCAGCTGCAGCCAGAGCCTCCAGTTCCCCTTGGTGATGGTAAGGGCCCAATGCAGGGCTTCAGAAAGTGGGAGCGGTTTGCTGCTAGGAGCTGCAAATCTGTTCCCATGTCCCTACATATGTAGATGCCTGCCCAGGAGTGTTTACTCACAAGTATTTTACTCACAAATAAACTAGTCCCGCATCAAATGCACATGTAGATACATCTCATGTTAGCACTGGTGCAAGTAGTGGCCAGTCAATATAGCCACTTGGGTGCCACCCCACCAATTTTAAAATGACATGATCAACGTTATGATTATGCACTTGCACTACACATACAAAACAAAAAGTTGAGTATGCGCAGTAAGCACCTCGGGGCAATCTCCTTACTACCCGAGTGGTGCATGAGCCATAGAAACACTTGAACAGTTAGAATGGATTGCAATAACTACTTGTTTAAGCAGGCAGCGGGGCACCTGTACCAACACCCCAGTGTGACTAAAGAGCTGTTGGGAGGAAGGCAGAAAGACAGGGGGTGCCACATGCAGAGACATGCATGTGGCCTAAGGAAGCCTGCAAAGCAGCTCCAGCAGGCAAGCGGAGATGGGGATTGAGGCCCCTGTAGGGAGGAATCTGGACAGAGCTGGGTCTGCTGCCCAACCAGGGGGGGCTTGGGGCTGTGTCCACAATGTGCAGCTGCAGGGTCCCAGCAGGAAACAGGACAGGGCTGCAGGTGGCTCATCTGGTGGAGGGGAGGGCCAGTTCCTTGCTGTCATGTGCACTCCTGGGGGGGTGCAGGGGACCCATGCCCCCCAGATCTGTACCTATGGCAGGCACAGGCTGTGAGCTCAAGCTCCCATCCTGCTTCCCTTCCCTAGGGCTCCTGGAGCTAGTGAGCATGATCTGATACAGCTGGGAACAGTGGGGCTGCACAGGATTTCCTCACCACTTCAAGCCCCCCTGCCCCCACTGCCCTGGTGATGCATCCCCTGTGCCTGTGTGATGGGCTGACTGGCAGTGACTTAGCCCAGGGGGTTTGAAAGATGATTGGAGGACTTGGGATTCCCTTTCCTCACCAATCTGGTAACGATTTGGTCCAGGGGTTTTGAAGGGGTAAAAGATGATTGGAGGACTTGGGATTCCCTTTCCGCACCAATCAGACCCCAGAGACTCACCCTCCATGTCCCCTGATTGGCTCCTTGGGTCAACTGGAGGGGGATAAAAGGGGCAGCATGGGCTGACTCAGGAGAGACCAGTGAGGGACAACAAGGAAAGAGCCTCATAGAGCTGAGCCAGTGGGGTAAGAGCAGTGCCCCAGAAGACCCTGAAAGAGGAGAATCTGCAGGCAGTAGTGGGACCCCCAGCAGCATGGCATGCAGTTGGCAGGAGAGGCTCCCTGCTGGGCTCCTGGATCCCCTACAAGAGGCTGTAGCTAGTAGGAGAGGCTCCCCCACTCCAGCCAGGATCTGAGCAGTGACCTGAGAGGTTCCCAGCTCTGCTTCCAGCTCCTCCAATTAGAGGCCAGATAGCTTGATGTGAGGCTGGGGCTCTAGGAAGGTCAAGACCCCTAACAGAGTGGAACAGTACTACTGGTAATAGCTGTGTGGCAGCATTCCTGTCTGTCATGTGGTAGACCTGGGTTCAAGTCCCAGCTGAGGTAACTTGGGGTGAGTAAGCTAACAAGAACTAGATCTTCTTGCAGTGGAAAAAGGCCATTTTGTTTTTCTCCCTCTCCAGGTACCAAGGCCCTATATTTCCTTGTCATTTGACATTATGCATTTTGTGCCTTTCTATATTTCACCAACCTGTATCGTTTGTTCTGCTGTTTGTGTTTTATATTTTGCTAACCCTGTTTTTTGTCAATGATTGTAAGTGTCTAACCTTTGTTGAATCTTGCCCCCTTGGGGCATTATAGTGTCCACTATACTCTCTGATTATTGCCTATGTTCCCAGTATTAAAAGGTATATGGTTAAGTCCCTATTGGTGGTCTGGCTCTGCTTTATAGAGGGAGGAGAGTCCCTACACCCCCCACAGTGCTTGTGCACCTGCTTTGTTCCCTTCAATTGGAGAGGGAGGTACCGCCTAGGTTACACCTGCCACTGCTTTGAGGAGTGCAGCCCCCTACCGCTGCCCTCACTGCAGCTCTGCACCCAGGGGGTGCATCGCCATGGCAGGAAGACAGCTGCCTCTGAAGCTGGCACAGCCCTCCCTGCTTGGCAGAAATTCAGATCAGCCCCCATGCCCCTGCCAATCCCTGTGGCTGGCACTCGAGAGAGCCTGGAGCTCTTCCTGGCTGCTGCAGGGGAGGCGGGGCAAAGCAGGACAGGAGCAGCCCTGGACTGTGCTGCTCCTGTCGGGTGCAATTTTCTCCCAATGCAACTGTATGTGTAGACATGCACCTGGGAGTACACTAACGCGCCTGAATTTTCTGTGCAGAATATTCAGGTACATTACTTGAACATGTAGACATGCCCTGTAGGAGGTTTAAGTTTGACCATTTCATCTTCAGCTATGATTACAGCGTGTCTACTAACAGAAAGATGCTTCTGATGCACCAAGCACAGAATTTAGACTGCTAGCTTCACAGGGTGCATCTACATGTGGAAATGCTCCAATAGGCAGATATCTACACATTTGGGAAGTGAGAAGATTTGGTGCTCATAGCAGCAGTTTCCTATCACCCCCTGGGACCGGCTGGAAGCACAGTGCCAGGAGACAGCAGTCTCCTGGTGAGGATTGGGCTTCTCTCCCTGCCCCTGGGAGATGCCTGCTGCTGGAGGGGTTTCTGCCACTGGATTCTGGGCAGAGACAATGTCCCCCTCAACAGCAGCAGGGAACTCCCAGCACTTGATCTGTGATGATGATTAGAGAGTGGGGGATGGGATATTCTTATCTCCCAGTGTTAGCTCCACCTTTGAGGGGACAGCTGGCCCCTGATTGTGGGGCCAGGGCTGAGATATAATAATCTCCTGTCCCTGGCCCTGCAATTGCTATCATGGAGCAGCGGGTGGGGGCTCCCTGCTGCTGGGTGGGGGGACATTGTCCCTGCCTAGGCTCTAGTGGGGAGCCCATTCTGGAAGGAGGCAGCTCCCAGGGGCAGGGAGCAATCTTCTACATCCCTGCTGCCTGGCTGACCTGGAGCACATTTGCTCCCAGTCAGTTGTCTACATGTGCCATACTGCACAGTACTTACTCCCATGTAAATCTGCTATTTGTGTTTACAGGTATCACTAGCAAATATACTCAGGATTAAAGCAAATTACTGTACAGCAAACATCTGCATGTGTAGACAGCAACATTTACTGTGCAGTAATTTGCTCTAATTTTCAGTAAAACTGTGCTGGCTCCAGCAGCCTTACCTGGGGTCCTGGAGGCCTCAAGGAGTTGCAGTTAAAGTGCTTTTGCAGCTGGCAGCCTCGGTCGCAGCTGAAGCATGGCTCCAGTGGGCCAGACTCCGAGTTTTGGGTCATGTGTGCTACTACCATGTGCACCATCCTCTTTATTTAGCATGGATTTTTATCCCCTGTTGCACACTGCAAGGTAACAGCATGGGTAATGCCTGGATGTGTGGAGTCTGGTGCCATAGATGGGTCTGTAGCATCACACACATGCCTGTGCTCATCTAGATGTGGCTGATGAGGTCTAAACAATATGTACTTCATAGATTAGGAAAGCCCACTGCACATCATAAAGGTCAGTTAATTTCACCTTAATGTTGTTTTGAAAGAAACCAGGGAAAAGTCCAGTGGAAATGTCCCATTCTGACACTTTCAGAATCAAAGACTCCAATTTTTAATTTTGAAACTGCTTTCTGCTCTTAAATTGTTATATCTTACATATAAATATAAAATATTTAAAGGGTAAAATTAAATCAAAAGCACTTTGATCAACTTGAAGTAGATTTTTCCAGAATTTTCAAAAAACTACATTTAGAATGTGTACAAAAGTTGCTTTTTTTTTTTTCACCATTTAAAATGTTTTGCTGCCATGACTTAACAGAATTGCATGGCTTTATAGCACTTGAAAAATGGGTAGAGTTCTTAAAATTAACTCTTGTTAAATGAGGTGATAAACTTGAAACACTATATTTTTATATCACTTTAGCAACCTACAGAACTTTAAATAACTTCTATTGACCAGAAATTCGACCAGCATACAGGAGGCTGCATTGGACTACACAAGACAAAGAACCAAGCAAAAGATAAGTACCACTGACTTTGTTAAAGGAAGAGGAGGAGGCAACCTGATAGGCAATTTGAATGGAATAATCTCAGCATTCTGTAAAACAAGTCTTATGCAGGGGATAAGAATCCTGTGAGTATCTTCACAGCTAGTTAGGAGAGAAGCATTAAGACTTAATTTCTGATATTATCAATGCATTTGTTAAGAATTTTTGACACAGTAGACCAGATTGATTGAAGCCAATGACTATGGATGGATCTATTACTCCATATGGTTAATGGAATTATGCCAAGGATCAGTCTGGTCCCTTTTTACTTTGAAGATATTGGCAGAGAACAGAAACATGGTGGAAATTTGAAGTAGATTAAAAGGCATCAGACCTAGAAAGTGTCTGTATTTCTTGTTTCAGTCGCACATATTTGACTTCATCAGTCAGGGAGGGGGAAAGAAGTGGTATTATAATCCTGTTTTGTAACACAAGCCAGTGTTACAGACTCTTTCAAGCTGAAGGCTGTGCTTGAAGGGGTAGGATCCTGTTTAGTTGTAATAGCGGGAGGCTGTTTACAGTGAGAGAGGATGGTTGCGATTCTGTTTTTCTACTGGTAGGGGTCTGTCTTTGTAGCACTCTGACTTCTGGTAATGGGGGACTGACATCAGTTGAAGCATCCCAGCTGACAAGTAACTTTGTTGTTGTTCTCCTTCTTTGCAGGTCAACACAGTGGGAGAAGATGTAACCTTTTGTTCACCTTACATTTTTTGCTGTTTTATTGCATGTTTAACAAACTACTGATATCTAGAGTGACTGCAGTCTCATTCCTATACACTTGCCCACACTGATTTGTTACGCTGCCTAGAATCAATCTGTTCTGTACCATTCACTATGACTATCACAAAGCAGTTCTCAATATTTTTAGACACAAGTCATTCCTTGTAAAATGGCAGATCTTAGTTTTCACTCAATTTTTTTACTATAGAAAAGTACCGGAGCACTAAGTCTTCTGTTGCAAAACACCCAGAAGAATGATGACAGGTCAAATTGTCAAGTTAAAGTTGATTTTGTTTTTATATAATCATTTATAATCATTCTATAGTCACATTATTTAGCTTTTTAACTAACCTGCATTTTATTCTACTTTGTTGCTTAAAGCTTTCCTATAACTTATCCTAAGCTGAACTCCATTTTATTTTGTATTGCTTATGTGTAATGCCACTCTGTTATTTTTCTCTTTCTGTTTGACTGTGGTATGCATGTGATAATATAATTCAATGGACAAAGACTGCAGTAACCTCCTGTTCTGACAAGGCTGAGGGTTGCAACATAATTGCAAAACAACACCCTGTCCCAACAGTTGAAGACTGCAGAACTCAGAGTGAGAAAAGTCTGTCCCAGAACCAGAATTATCCCAACACAGTAGAAAAAGAGAGAACCAACTTTGGAAAACAGCTTACAACTACTATAAAAAGTGGTCAAGAATAAAGAAGCTTTTGGTCTGATCTGCAAAACAGCAGCAGTAGAGCATGGGTATGTTTCTGACAGAGGCCCAACTCCCTTCTCCTTGTGCTCAGCAGAGGTCATAAGGTTAGCAGAACTAAGAAACTGAATTTCAAAGCTGGATTTTGACTACCTAAAGGAGATAGTAGGTATGGTGCCATGGGAGGACAAACTAAAAGATAAAGGGGCCCAGGAGGACTGGAAGCTTCTTAAGGGCACAATATTGGAAGTCCAATAAGAAGATGTTCCAACACAATCCAAGCACTAGAAAAACAACAGAAAACCAATGTGGCTGCACAAGGAGTTTATGGGATTCCTCAAATGGAAAAGGAAAGCATATAAGTAATGAAAAATGGGCATGTCATCAAGGAAGCATACCAGGAAATAGTAAAAAGTTGCAGGGACAAAATCATAAAATTTAAAAAATGAGCTTTACCAGGAGTGAGAAGTTAAAGGCAAGAAAAGGTTCTATAAATACTTTGACCAGAAAAGAAAGACCAAGGAAACTGGATCCCCTATGAAACAGCAAGGGTAAACTGTTAACAGAAGATGCACAGAAAGCAAAGCTGCTCAACTGCTAACTTTTTTTGTGAAGAGTTAAAAAAAAATGTAAGCTGCAACCAGACAACTAGTAAGGGTTATCTGGATAAAAAACGGAACAACTTGAGGGATGAGATAACCAACATCATAATTAAAGGCTCAGAAGTGCTACACTCGCTAGCATCATAACCAAAAGAGACTTGGGGGGGGTCATGATCAATCACAAGATGAACGTGAACCACCAATGTGACGCTGCAACTGGCAAAGCAAATAAAACTCTGGTTTGCAACTACCAATGCATCTCAAGCAAGACCCAAGTAGTCATCCTCCCACTTTACTCAGCCTTGGTGAGGCTGCAGCTGGAGTACTGCATCTAATTCTGGGCTCCACACTTTAGAAAAGATGTGGAGAAACTTGAGAGAGGTCAGAGGAGAGTTGCATGCATGATCAGAGGTCATGAGAGCAGGCATGGAGCTCTTCAGCCTGGAAAAGAGAAGGCTCAGGGGGACTTGGTGGCAGCCTGTAAGTATATAAGGGGTGTGCATCAGGAACTGGGAGAATGTCTGTCTCCCAGGGAAGATAAGGCCTAATGGTTGCAAACAGCTGGAAGACCTTTTTAGACTGGACAGAAGGAAAAACTTCTTTACTGTCTGAGTCTCCAGAGTCTGGAACAGATTCCCCCCCAGAAGAGGTGCAAGCACCTACTTTGGATATCTTCAAGAAACACCTGGATGCTTATCTTGCTGGGGTCATCTGACCCCAGCTGACTTCCTGACAAATGGAAGGTGATACTTCAGGAAGAATAATCACAAACACAATAAAAAAACAGCTGGACAGCAGCACCATGGAAAAGGATCTAGGACTCTTTGTAGAACATTGACTTGATATGAATTTACAATGTCAATCAATGAGGCCTATCGAGCTTGGCTTCATGTGCCTTGTCACCTGATGATAGTACCCAGGCCTGGGTTTTACATCACCATGAATGCACTAGATATGTACCATAGCCAGGAGCTTCCCAGGTTCTGAAAGTAAGGATTTTCTAATGATTGTTTGGGCATATCCAGAATCCACTAGGGCCATTACCTTAGGCTGAAGGAAATAGGCATGTTCTGTTGATTGAAAAAAGGTCCTTTAACAGGGGATATGTTAGCAGTTTTCAAGTGTCTTAGGGACTGCCATAAAGATGAGGAAGAACACTTTTTTTTTTTCTCTCTCTAGCTATACAGAACAATGCCTAGAAGTTGCAGCAAAGTAAGTTACGACTGGATATTAGGAAAAAAAACTTCAGTTATAACAGTGGAATACACTGTTGAGGTAAGCTGTGGAATCTTCATCACTAAAGCGTTGAAGAAAAGTTGGACAAGTATTGATCAGGAATGATTTAGGAGTAACTATTCTTATGCTATGCTATCAGTATTTCCCATAGTTTTGGGTTTTGCTGGTTGCTGCTTGGGGATAGGAAGGAATTTTCCCCTTCCTGCTGCTAGACCATATATCGGGGGTTATTTATTTATTTTGCCTTAGAAGCATTGGGTGTTGGCTGCAGCCAAGACTAGGGATTTTGCCTGGGGTGTACCATGACCAGCACTTCCAGGGAGAAGGCTTCCTAGGATGGGATGATCTTCATCCCACTCCTAGAGGTAAGCATCTGTTCTCCTGCAGGTTGGCTGATCTCCTCCAAAGAGCTCTAAAATAGATTTGATGGGGGACAGGAAACCAGTGGTTGATGAGAACCCAGGGTTGGAAAGCCACAAACAAGGCACCAGACCTAACCAGGTAAGCATGAAAGGGAACACATGCCATCAAGGCAAAGGGACACCAAGAGCACCCATTGGGGGGCTAAAATGTCTTTACACAAATGCCAGGAGTATGGGGAACAAGCAGGAGGAACTCGCACCTACTTGCTAGCACACAGTATGACTTAGTCAGCTTAACTGAAACATGGTGGGATTCTATGCATGACTGGGTGGTAGGTATTGAGGGGTACAGGTTGTATAGATGAGACAGAGTGGGGAGATAAGGCGGAGTGTAGCTCTCTATGTTAAGAAGCAGTACACCTCTTCCATCATCAAGGCAGAAGTGAAGGAGGGGAATACTGAGGCATTGTGGGTTAGGATCCAGGAGAAAAGGACTTGGTAATGGGGGTCTACTACAGACCTCCTCACCAGGATGATGAGCTAGATGAGGTATTTTCCAAGCAGCTCTCAGATGCCATACAGGCGAGGGAGGCAGTGGTCATAGGGAACCTAAATTACCCAGATCAGTTGAGAGGAACAGGTGGCCAAAACAAGCCACTCAAGGAGGTTCTTACAGTGTGTGAAGGACCTCCACCTAACCCAGATGGTGTCCAGTACCACAAGGGGTAGCGCCTTGCTAGACCTGGTCTTAGCAACAGGGGATGATCTCATAGGGGACCTGCAGGTACACAGTAACCTGGATGATAGGGACCACCACTTGGTAGAGTTCACAATCCAGTGAAGAGTAAGAAAAATATCCAGTGATGCCAAAGTTTTAGACTTCAGAAGGGCCAACTTTAGTAAACTTAGGAACCTAGTTAGTGAGGTGGCAGAACTCAAGAGCATTGAGCTAATGGGTGTCCAAGAGGGTTAGATGTTTATCAAGGTAGTGATCCTTGGGGCACAAAAGAAGTGTATCCCCTTATGCAGGAAAGGGGCTAAGCAGATTTAAAAAAAAAAACCCTTTGGCTGAACAGGGAGCTTCAGAAAAGACTGGGGGGCAAAGAAAGAGATGTATAGGCAGTGGAAGCAGGGGGCAGCCACCAAGGAGGCATACACCACCCTGGCACACTATTGCAGGGAGTCAGTTAGGAAGGCCAAGCAGGACTGGAGCTTAGGCTGCTACAACAATTAAGGACACTAAAAAGTCCTTCTACAGATACATAGCTAGCAAAAAGAAAGCACAGAGTAGCATAGGGCCCCTGCAGGACAAAACGGGTCAGTTGGTGGTTGACTCAGAGAAAAAGGCAGAGCTCTTCAGTGAGTTCTTTGCTTCAGTATTCCTTAATACTGACCAAGACAATCCCCCCACCTTGGGCATAGACAGATGTCCAAAAGGCACCAGGCTGCCAAAGGTTAGTGTTGACTTAGCCTTTCCAAGTGCTCTTTAGCTGGATAGGTACAAGTCAGCTGGCCCAGATTACCTCCATCCATGGGTGCAGAAGGAATTGACCAGTGTCATTGCTGAGTCACTGGCATGGCTGTTTGAGCTCTCATGGTGCTCTGGCCAGCTCCCTGAGGACTGGAAAAAGGCCAACGTGGTGCCAATTTTTAAGAAGGGGAGAAGGGAGGAGCTGGGTAACTTTAGGCCAGTCAGTCTTACCTCTATCCCTGGGAAAATACTAGAAAAAATCATCAAAGAGGGTATTTGTGAAAGCCCAGCAGGGGAAAGGATGCTGAAAGGAAACCAGCATGGGTTCATCACAGGTAGATCTTGCCTGACAAACCCTATAGCCTTTTATGACCAGGTCACACACTATCTTGACACCAGAGCTGAGGCTGATGTCATCTACCTGGATTTTAGGAAGGCCTTCGACACAGTTTTGCATCCTGTTCTCATAGGGAAGCTAACGGGCTGTTGAGTAGGTGGCTACACAGTCAGGTGGGTGGCTAACTGGCGTAGGGACCACACCCAGAGATTGGTGCTTGACAGGTCATTCTTGGCCTGGAAAGAAGTGGGCAGTGGGGTCCCACAGGGTTTGGTCCTTGGGCCAGTGTTATTTAATATCTTCATCAGCGATTTCTATGAGGGTGTGGTGAGCACCTTCTCCAAGTTCATGGATGATACCAAATTATGGGGCAAAGTTTAATACACCAAAGGGCAGGGAGCAGATACAGGCTGACCTGGACAGGTTAGATCAATGGGCGGAATGTAATAGGATGCAATTCAACAAAGATAAATGTAAAGTACTCCACCTAGGAAGGAGGAATCCCCAGCACACCTACAGGTTGGGGCATGTCCTCCTCAGCAGCTCAGAGACTGAGAGAGATCTTTGAGTCATAGCTGACTCAAAGATGAACGTGAGCCGGCAGTGTAATGAGGCCATCAACAAAGCTAATCACACCTTGTCGTGTATTAGCAGATGCATGACCAACAGATCGAGGGAGGCTGCAGTTGGAGTACTACGTCCAGTTTTGGGCTCTGCACTTCAAGACAGACATGGAGGATCTGGAGAGGGTTCAGAGGACCACTAGCACAATTAGTGGTCTCCAATCCCTTGGGTCCCTTCCAACTCTGTGTACCAATGCTTTTGCTGGGATTAAAACCCTAAGGTTCCTGTCTAAAAGATTTTGCTTCTCCACTCAGACTCAGGCCAATTGCCATAGCTGTGGCCAGGAATTAATTTTATCCTATGATCAGATTGGACTTTAGTATGGGAGGTTTTGCCTTCATCTACTGTTAGAAGGTGGTGTCCTCTTCCTTGTATCGCTCATGTGCATTTTGAAAACCTTTGAAGCAGCAAGTTACTGACAGGGTTGTCTGTGTAGTTTTAGTAATAGGTTAGGCAAGTATTTACTTGAGATAGGGATGAGCCTGATTCAGGCAGGGGGTTGGACTAGATGACCTCCAGAGGTCCCTTCCAGGGCTATTTTTCTATGATTCTATGACCTGCTCATAAGTACTTGGAAGTGAGTTTATCCTACTGTAGGAGGGTAGGTGATGCCAAGCCCTAAATTTCATATGGGAGGTATGGACTCACCTGCCACAACTTTTATGATGGGAGAAATAAGAGTTAATACCCTCCCCCAATGAAATATATGACAGATGCTATCAGATCTGAACCGGTCACAATAATTTTATTTATTAAACAATTCCCTCTTCTTCAGTAACAGAAATAAGCATCTATTGCCTTAAGTGGCATCCCACTGCTTTTCCCAGTGCCTCTTCTGAGCTCCAAAGCCTGTCTCTGAACCCTTCCTTGTTCCTCAGGATTTCTGACTCCAGTTTCCCCAGCAGCATCCCAGCAGCTATCTGTACCTGGTAAGTAGCAATTCTTTCTCATCTTCCTTGAGGATGGGGTTTGGCCATAGTTTGCTCACCCAGCTAGGATCCGCTTGGAGCTTCATGTGTCTGATCTCTCATCTTCATCATGCCCCCAGGGGTGGTCACTCATTCTGAATGGCTGCCTTTTAACCCCTTCCCCCCCCCCCCCC